CTCTCTAGATGTGGCCCGTGGCAAACGCAATGCCTGACAAGTCTGTTTAGAGGCTGTAACAGTTAGAAGCCAAGCCTTGCTCAAGCAGAGTTCTATTTAATTATCCATCTGGGGTCAATTTACTTTATTACAGCTGTAAAGTGGGCTCAGCTCAACTTGCCAATTTCCATTCCAATCTGCTTTTTAAATGTTTCGGTTTCACAGTTCAGGCATTTTACGACAAATCTTTTAAATCATGTGGATTGCACTAAGTGGGACATTTCATCAAAAAATGTAGATCAGTTCTAAGCCTGTAATACAATTTGCATTTAAGTTTTGGAAACTGAGAAATATAAGCTTAAATGATAAATAAGCACATTGCTTATGGTTCAAGAGCGATTTACACATCAGAGCACAATTTTCAAGTTTCTTCTCTGTGTAAGGCAACAGGTAACAGTTGTAGACACAATGGTGACAAGACAAATTGTGTATGACTCTTGGGGAGTTTAAAGGTACATTAATTTTTAAGTAAGTGAAACTGCAAACGTATGTAAAAGTGCATAATGGGAGATGATCTTGATATCTAAAATGCTCCTCACAATCTCAATCTATACTTCTAACATCTGCATAGCTATATTGTACATTAATACTTTTTTCTTTTTTGAAATATGAAAATTTCTCAAAAAAATCTTTATTTTTTTCTAAAAGCATTCCTCTGAATGGATGGACAATGTTGCTATGTGCCCTCCCTTCTTTAAAGTCTCACAGTTTTTCTCTACTATATATCGGGTGTGCACGTGGTGATGAGAGGAATCCAGGGACTCAGGCTACGATGTGCTGGCATCAACTAATGGTCTACAGGAAACAGATTATTGCAAGGCTGTTCTAGAGCCCCATGAAGGAAGTTTATTTTTAGGGGATGTTACTCAGTCACAAGATACGTCACTCTGTGGTAAAGATGTCCACTCAAAAACATGGCCAGGACCTGAGTTTAATCCTCTAGCGGGAAAAAATAAAATGAGGACAAATGACTAAGATCACAGACAACAACAATCCAACACATGCTAATTTAGAAATGTAATCAGACTTAGCTGAAAGTTCAGCTAGCAATACGGTCTGTTGAGGCACTTTATTTAATCACCTGGGTACTTATTTCAATGATGTAGGTGGATGAATTTGTGAGTTGTGCAACCTGCCTTAAACGTGATGGAAGTGAACCTGGAGATTTGACTCAGTGGCTAAGAACTCTGGTTTCTCTCTCAAAGCACACAGAAGACAGCTGACAATTCCCTGTAACCCCTATCCCAGTAATGCCTTGGTCCCCACAGACACTGTGCACACATGATCCCTAGACATACACATATGATTGAATAAAATAAAAAAATTTAAAGATGATGAAAGTCACAGGAGTCAATGACAAACTTTGAATAACTATCAAGCAGCATGCTCGGAGGTCAAACTCATGCCCTTTTGCCCTAGACTGCATATTATTTTTACATTTTCATGCTGTGATATTCTATACCATCTGCCCTCAACTTCTGAGAGGGCCCTGTGACTCGTGCCTTTTGTCAGAGAATACGTTTGTAGGACAAATATCTGACTTTGAGACCAATGAAAGATTACAAGATATATGCTCACGGCAGAAGTTTCAAGAGGTATTTTCCCAATCTTTCTGCCTTTCCTGAAATACTCAGAATGCCATGTCCCAGAAAATACCACTCGCATGGACTGGTGGAGCAGAGCTGACCCAGCACTGACATGAACTGAGAGTAAGACAGAGCTGTTGTTGAGGACAGTGTGTATCTTTGATAGTAGAGTAGCCTAGGAAAAGGTGACCTAATAAAACATAATAGGAAGTGGGATGTTACCATTGTTACCATAACAAAGCATCCTAGAAAGCATGCGCTTGGCTTTAAGTCTGAGAAAATTGTTGCTGGGAATTAAACAAACCACTTCTCATATCTTACAGGAGTTTACCTTGTTCTCTTGCTCTGTTTAGATTAAAAGATTTGAAGAACATAACATGACTTGACTTTGCCACTAGATATAAAAATGTCTCAGAAGTTATAAATAAAAAGGAGTAATTATAAATGAAATACAGTACTGTGTATATATATATATGTAAAATATACATTATATTTAATATATATGTAAAATGAAATATATATTGTAAGCAATGAATATAATTTTTAAAAAAAACTTCTGCTGTAAAAAAATGGAAGAAAAATGAAAAATTAGGAATTGTACAACATAGAGGACTAGAAGTTGTAAAAGCTTTTTAGTTCTAATAAGTGAAAGAATGGTCTTAAAAAGGTGTTTTGAATCCCAAAGATTAAAACACAAATGAAGACTCATCCTCAGAGACCAAATAGGACATTGTAGAAATGCAAGAAAACTACTAAAGATATTTGAAAATATTGAATGGAAATTAAATATTTTATAAGCTTCCACATATATAGAAAAGCTCATGAAATAGAACATCAGGTACCTGCATGTAGATATAGATATATCCATATAAGAATTTAATGGTTTAATTGGAGTTGCTCAGGGAATAATTCTCCTCCCAGATGGTGCAAGTTGCCAAGTAAAACGTCTCTTGCCAAATGTTGCATTATTGGTCAGGGAAGTCCCATAGAACACCCAAAGCAATGCAGGCTACTCTGTTGTTTGTTTCCTACAGAATTTGATGGTAAGTCGCTACAGCTAAAAACACCACACACTTTGATATGGAGACATAAAGGTGGTGCCAATGGGGAATCTTCCTTCTTGTTCACAGATTTTCATAGTATCTGAAGGTGCTATGCAGATACTAGGGGAGAAAAAGCAGCATCAGCCTTAATGAGCTATGACTCTTCTCTGATAAAGACAGGTAGTGTACATTAACGGTGCAACAATGGCAGAAATGCTGTGTGGGTAACAACCACTTTCTGGTTTTAGGAGAAAAGTTTAGCAAAATAATAGTAATTGATTCATCTCTGGAGTTTACGAGCTCTCCAGTCCTGGATTATTAGCAAGGTATTTCTATAAGAGGAAACTCTTATCGAATATGGCCTTAAATCAAACATTCCTGTCTCTACACCCATAGATTGACATAGGTCTCCACCTCCTCCGAGAAGTTTCTTTGTTGTTATGGGGGCAGATATTTCAGAAAGTTGCAGCTGGTTAGAGTGTTAGCAAGTGTCTATGGGGTACACAGTCACAAATTGTGCCTATCCATCACACCCTCTCCCCCACAATTCAGAGACCTGTGCAAGAGGAACTGGGATGGAGAGATTTGTATGAGCCAGAGGTTGCAAAAAAACGGGGACCAAATAGTTTCTTCTGGAAATAGCAAGACCACTATGCTCATGAACTAACAGTCGTTATGGTTGCCTATATAAGACATGCACAAAATCCAGTCAATCATTATGAAGGTAGGAGGGGCTCAGGATCTCCTACTCCCATTTGAGAAGCTAGAAGGTTGATGGGTGATGAGTAGAGGTGGAGGTTGGGAGAAATAAGTTTTCTTTAAGTGTGTGACTCCTTAGGTAGGTCAACCATACTTCAGGGGATGTCCTCAAGTCCGTGAGTAAATGAAAAGCACAAATTTGACTCAGTGCACTATAAATAAAATAAAATAAAATAAAAAGAGGATATGGCCTTGCAAGGAGTGCTGATATGGGTGGAGTTAGAAAGAGGATCGTTGAGTAAACGTGATTAAAATACATTGCATAAACATACTATATTCACAAATAATAAAATATTATTTAAAAACCAAACAAAGGGTATTGCTTTTAGTGAATTAAGATGATCGCAGTAAGTTCTTTCTCAATAAAATATGTTAAAGAAAAGAGATCAAGAACCTGCTAGTCCACAAGCTTAATAATCTCAGTGTGTTGGTGATAGTCATAGAGAAGGAAAGAATATTTCTTTATCATGCCATATAACTTACTAAACATAAGAAGTTGAGTAACATACACTCTACATATTTACAATTTTCCACACATACTTGATGATTCAACTGAAATGTTACCAGCCTCAGCTTAGATATCTCTGTCCCTGCCCACTTCACCAAATGCTGATACCTTGTATTTGTTTGAAAAAGGCTGTCTCCACTGTGCACCTGATTATATCCCCTCTAGAGACTGAATTCACTGATTGCATAAACTGATGGTTTAGTTTAAGGCTGGTGTACAGACGATACTAACACCTGACAAATGAATCACTAAGAGAATGGATAAAATCTCATGGATGGGACCATTTTTTTTAAAGCAAATCAGAGTAACCCTAATTCAGAATTAAAACTTCAAAAAATATTTTAGTTATACTGGATATGGGGGCGGGGAATAGGATGGGTGATAGGGGAGCAGAAAACAACCCTGTGTTATCTTATTCTTTAAATCTACTGTAAATGAGATCATTGAAGTTGAAGATGTAACCCATGTGTTAAATGTGTTACAGTAGTTTTACTTAAAGTAAAGCCATTTATATTTAAACCCTCCAGGAATTAGAATTAATTTTTGTTATTTATAATAAAAAGTAAAATAAATCATTTTACTCCAAGCGGCTGGAGAGGTGACTTAACAGTTAGAAACACTAGTTGTTCTACTAGAGGATCCAAGTTTGGGTCCCAGCATTCACATGGCAGCTCTTAATCAACTGTAACTCATTCCAGGGCATTTGGTACCCTCTTCTGGTCTCTGAGAGCACTGCGTACATGTAGTGTGATGATATACATGGGACAAAATACCATAGAAAATAACAATAAATAAATCCTTAACAAAAATTGAAATATTACTCCTAAACAAAGAAAAATACTCAACTAATTATTGAGGTTGAGATTTTATCAGAAGTGTAGACTTCTTAAGGTGGAATTTAATACTTTTAATAAATATCCGTAAAACAATCAAGGAATATGTTCACGTCCAGAGTCTTATTAGAACAAACAATCCTGTATTGTATGTTATATTAGTTCAAAGAATTTTTAAATTGGTTTTTAACATACATTCTAAAGAAGACACAAATTATTTGATATCACATACCTGTCGGCACCAGAGTTTACGGAATATTTGTAGATAAGCCAATACCATAAGACACAGAGGTGCCATGTACGTCACCAGAAAGAAGCAGATGTGGTACATCTTTGGGTAAATGTCACCTGAGATGAGAATCAAACAGTAAAATATGTCATGAAAATGATGAATTTAGAAAAGCTTTTCCTGCTAAAGTACACATGTATGTTCTTATAACTTTATTTTATGTTTTAAGCATATAAAGGAAAACAATCTACAATATTTCATTTAATATACTGACAGAAATAATAATTACTCATTTCTAAATTGGGTATGATCGCAATTTAACCACTATCAAGAAATTTATGTATCAAATACATCTTTATTTTGCATGCCTGAAATTAGCTAGTTAAAATGTACTATTTTGGATTGTCTTATATATTCATTTACTAAAAGGGACCTGGTTCAAATATTTTTTGATTAAAAAATATTGACAAAAAACCTTGTTTAAACAAAAGCTAAATGTAAATACAGTTAATTATCCTCATTAGAAGGTAACGGGCGATATTTGAAAGGATTAAAAGGGTTAGAAGGTATGGTCTTCCTGGAGGAAATGTGTCACTGGGGGTGAATTTTGAAGGTAAGAAGCCCATGTCAGGACCGAGACTCTCTGTGCCTATGAATCAGGATATATCTCTCAGTTATTTGTCCAGCACCACGTCTGCCTACATGTGGCTATGCTCCCCACCATGATGATCATAGACTAAACTTCTGAAACTGTAAGCAAGTCCCCAGTGAAATATTTTCTCTCATAAAAGTTGCCTAGGTTGTGGTGTCTCTTCACAACAATAGAACAGTGACTAAGCTAGCTGTGGAATTATCACTTCTGCATTTAATTAAAAAGGAATATATTCTGTAGAAAGAACAGCATAATACATAGGCAGTTGGGAGGTATAAGAAACCAATTTGAGATGTCAGTTTTAAACTCTTCCTGGGTCAGGTGGCACCCGTCTGCTTCATTCATTTCTAACTTTCAAGTTTATCTTGTAAAACAGGCTGTTAAATAAAGAGTGATAGAATTCAAGTTCTGGAAGAACAGCAGATAGCATTTCCATTTGAAGTGCAGCAGTTTGAACAGCATTTGCTGAGCCAATTTCAAAGCAACTTGAAGGTGACCTCAGCAATTCCCAGAGACCTGAGTGGCTTTGAACTTTTATTTGTTTTAAAGAAAGTATCACACGCCACATGTACTTCACACACACACACACGCATGCACATACGCATGCACACACACACACACACCTTTGAAGCTTATGCACACTGAAGCTTTAATAGCTCCATCAGACTAAATTGAACAGATGGAGGAAAGTGGATTTAATTGGTAACATTTTTCCCACTGCAGTAGCAGATACCATTACAGCCATTGTAATTTGGAGTTTTGAGTAGATGGAAGGAAGGCAAATTCTGGTAATTTTGAGTAAGTAGAAAAAATAATAATTGGTTAGTATATGTATATTATGATGAACACTTATGCAGAAACATTGATAATAAAAATTATACTACAGGCTAGCAAGGGTGTATTACTGGAGAGGTTATAATAGTAATGGTCTTAAAATATGCTTTTCTTTCTTTCTCTCTCTCTCTCTCTCTTTTTCTTTTTTTTTTCCAGAGTTTCTCTGTAGCTTTGGAACCTGTCTTGGAACTAGCTCTCGTAGACCAGGCTGGCCTCGAACTCACAGAGATCCCCCTGCCTCCCAAGTGCTGTATCCCAAGTGCTGGGATTAAAGGCATGTGCCACCACTGCCTAGCTGAAATCTGCTTTTCATTCTTACATTTGGAGCTCGTTGAAAACTCAGTCTACTGAAAATTTAAGTTGCATGTGTTGAATCTCTCCCTTGGTAATAATCTAGAATATAGTTCTTTAAAATTTATTTTGTATGAGTGATGCGTGAATTAGAATGCAACATTTTGAAGATTGATTGATAACTATACATCTGTGACTCAGGCTACATCAGATGTAGCTCAGTCAGTAGAATGATTTCCTATCATGACTTGAGTTTGATCTCTAGCATTGCACAAAACCATGTGTGGTTGAGCCTATTTGTAATCTCAAAGCAAGGGTAGAGACAGGAAGATCAGAAGTTCAAGATCATCCTTGATTGCACAGCAAGTTTAGTGCCAGAATGGGATAACTTGAGACCTGGTATCAACAACAACAACAATAACAATAACAGTATCTTTATTTAACTGATGGAAGGCAGTATCTAAATACATTCCTCTCTGTATGGATCTGGAGATCCATATATCATCTATCATCTATCTATCTATCTATCATCTATCTATCTATCTATCTATCTATCTATCTATCTATCTATCTATTATCTATCTATCTATCTATCTATCTATCTATNCTATCTATCTATCTATCTATTATCTATCTATCTATCTATCTATCTATCTATCTATTATCTATCTATCTATCTATCTATCTATCTATCTATCTATCATCTATCTATCTCCCTATCTATTGCATATCAAGAAATCAGAAACAACTATGGATATTTATGATGTCTTTGAAATCAGAGAATAAAAAATACTAGTCTTCAGAAGAGTTAAGGTACATTATTTTTCTAATTGTCCAAACTTACATTCTCCATATGCTACACTCATCAGGGACAAGCATGTCAAATACAATATGTCTATGCTCAATTTGGCAAATTTAAACCTTATCGGTTTCTAAAATTTACCTGAATATTTATTGCTTTATTATCGTCTCTTTAATGACTATATTACACCTGTTTTTTGATACACATATCTACATATTTAAGTACTTTCTAACCCTCATAATGAGACAAAACCCATAATTAGTCTGAGTACAAAGAAGGTTCACTCTAAGTTTTTTTTTTTTTTTTTTTTTTTTTTTGGTCAGACCACCAAAGTGCAATTTGTTAGATCTGTATTTTCAATCTAGTTATTGCTGGCTGTGGTGGATCATGTAATCTTAGCTTTCAGGAGGCCTAGGCAGTAGTCATGTATGTGTTGAATCATGGGGCTGAAGATAGCCTAGCATATTTATGGTGAGTTCTAGGATAACCTGGGCTACAAAATGCATTCTAAGATAGCTCGGGTTTCTAAATGAGTCTCAATATTGTCTTGGAATATAGAGTGAGACTTTTTCTCAGATAAAATTCCAGTGTCTAGAACAATATTTGATAAATAGTTCATATTCATGACATTTGATGAAGTGATATGATATGAAGATTATTACTTCTTAGACTGAGTGTGAAAAATATGTAGTTTTCCTTTATTTTGAGGAACTAAATGTCCATTTACTAACCAAGAAAGCATGGGCATAATTCTGTAAATTACAGTTTTATAAATATGAAGGAATGTGACTGAAGCAGACAATAAATATAGCCAATAGTGAAGTTCAGGAGAATGACGTTGATAATACAGACCCACTTTGCATAGTCAAGTGAACATCTCAGACACATCCATATGTTGCATTTTTTTTGTTAGTGTTATCTGACTTTTTGTTTTTAACAATCAGGAATACAATGATTATAATCATGAAAACTTTGTCATTAAAACTTTCCCAGTAATCTTGCAACCATGAGTGAAGGGCACTTATTTGAGTAACTCCCCAAAGTGATTTGATAGAGGCTAAAGAGAATTCTTCCTATGTGATATCATTTGATAGCTAAAGCACAGATGTTTATAAATCTGTTTTTGTTGGATTTAGGGGACATATTGGAAAAAATATAAGAATCCCAGGTCAGAAATTTATTTCAAGTAAAAGATACTGTATTCTATAGCCAGTGTTTAAATTGGGTTAAGTGGCATTCAGGATATCCATCATATAGAGAAGTAGCATTATAAGCTATGTTTTTTTTTCCTGCGGTGTGTAGTGTTTTGGTTATGGTTCTTTTTTACGGTTATTTTTATTTTTTGTTTTGTTTTGTTTTCCCCTAACTTAACATAAGCTAGAGTGATCTGGGCAGAGGCAATGTCAATTGAGAAAATGCTTCTATCACACTGGCCTGTAGGGAAGTCTGTGGGGAATTTTCTTAATTAATGATTGATGTGGGAGGGCCCAGCCCACTGTGGTCATTGTCATTCCTGAGCAGATGTCTCTGGGTTGTAAATAAAACAGACTGACCAAGCCAAGGGGTGCAGGCCCACAAGCAGCATCCATTCACGGCTTGTGCTTCACTTCCTGCTTTCAGATGCCTGCTTCAAGTCCTTGCTCTGAACACCCTTCGTGATGGACTATAAGCTGGAAGAGGCAATAAACTTTCTCCCAAGATGACTTTGTCATTGTTCTCGCCACAGCAATAGAGAGCAAAATTAAGAGAATTATAATGCCTCTGCTGACTTTTAACCTTGCAATCTGGGCACGGAATTTTAAATAATTTTAAATAATCTCCATGAACAGAGAGCATTTTATATAAGATATATAATGAGTTAAATGATCAGAAATTATTTTACATTTTCCTTAAAAGTAGTAAATTATTGATAATTTATAACTTAATAGCTAGAAAACAATTAATAGTTCTTATTTTATAGATTCAATATCAATTAATTTTAGCCTTTAGAAGTGTTTTGAGTAACCGTGGGCTATTATCAAATTACTTCCTAATAGTTTTATTAATGACTTTGATAATCTGTGTAAAATCTAGATAATAAAATACTTGAAATATATATATTTTGTGTATTTACATTTATTGATAAAAGATTTATAAAACCACAACATGGTATTTAATTTCATTTATTGATTATAGGATTATGTAGTTTGGTAATCTTTTTCATTAATGGAGTTAATGATACTTGATTGTATGTGAAGAGCAATCTTTTATATTACCTACATGAACACATAAATGAAACTCAATTCCAAAATACCTTAGAAAATCTTCCCTGGCATTTACTGTACTTAGAGTATTTTCTCTAAGGATCCTTTCCAGAATCTCAAAGGACCCTCACATTTCAGTAGGACTTTTGCAACTGGCATGTACACATGGCTTTCTAACCTTGAAGAGAGAGTGTAATCTCTGTAGGGCTGAAGGGTCGGCATGTGGAATACAGGATGCTTCTAGCTATAATGTACTGTAAAGAAAGTGTGTGGAAAAACTTCAACTTTCTGTTAAAGTCATTTCATTGGGCTTGCTGTACCTGAGAAACTATGTCTTCTCTCTTTTCTCCTTCTTCCTTAAGATGTGGGCCCAGCCAATGGGTTTTCTTACTTCCTGAACACACCTTTTTCTCTCCTGGGATATCCCTTCCCTGCTCCTAGATTCATATTCATCTTTAATATGTTACTGAAAAATTAGCGTTTCCTTTGTAAACATTTGTCCAAATGGCTGGGAACGAAGTTGTTCTCTCATTTGTGTTCCTGGTACTCGGCACCTAAGTCCATTGATCACACTGTGCTCTCTCAGCCTCGCCATTCTCACAGGAGAATTCGTTCTCTTAGGCACAGTGCCTAGCACACTCTAGATGCTCTAGATCTTGTTTGAACATTAAATAAATGGGACATAGGACACTTGAGGAAAATATTTATGAACTTTCCGTTCTGTTCATTTTTGACTATACTATCGAGGGGAATATTTATTAAAAAATACTACAGATACACACAGAAAGCAAGAGCATTACAATGTTAGAAAAGAGTAAAACTCATCGAAAATATATAATATCTTGAATAACAGGAAATTTGAATTCTAAAATTTTACTTAGTATAGTTCTGCTTTGATTTGTTTTGGTTGTTTTGATTTCTTTCTTTCTAAGACTGAACACCACTGTGCAGCCCAGGCTGGTTTAGGATTCAGGATCTATTTACCCAAGCCTCCCAGGTCACCTGGCTTGATTCATCTTTCTATAAGCATGACTAGGTATCTATTTACAATTATTTTTCCCTGATATGCAAATTCTGTAAGTATGAACAACTGTAGTGCAATTATCTAGAGGAGTTCAGATTGTTCCTTTCAAATTTCATGTGTAGCTAGTACATGCCATACTGAAATGTCTGGTGAATTTTTATTATTCTTTTCTCTGTCCATATCTGTGTGGTTGGATAAAATTCAATTTGATATATGCCACATTTTCTTAGGCATCTATGCTGATTCTTGTTCTTAAATCTTATGAAGAGTAGCATTAACTGTAATTGCACAGATATCTCTGAAGTAAGATACAGAGTTTTTTTAGGATTATGCCCAGGAATGGGATAACTGGGTCAAAGATAGCCTCTGCATTTTGCTTTTTGAGAAACTTTTATATTTATTATTCTAAATTTTTAATTTAGAATTTGATATATATCATTGACTAGTTCATTTGTTTTAAAAAAACTTTAAGAAATAACTGAAAATGAGTTATTGAATAAACTTCCCTATTTGTTTCTATTGCAAAATTTATGAAAATTAAAAATTGTACATAAAGCACCTTCAAAAGATGTAAGGAATCTATGAAATTTTGTTGTGTTTCAACTTTATTTTCACCCTTTTGCTGAGCTCTTTTAACAAATGCTAATAAAATATAGAATCCCAATTTAGCAATAGTGATGCTAATCCAGTATTTGCAGAGACCCTGCCAATGGGAGCAACTACTTACCGCCCCAGTGCTCATCACATACTGTAAAGAGGGTGGTTTTATTGGCTAAGCCAGGGAGCATGCTGCTGCACTCCATGACAATGGCTTGAGGAATCATTATGATGCAGGAGACAATCCAGATGATGACGATACTGTTCCGGGCCCGTTTGGCTGTGCTCTTGAACATCAAAGGGTGACAAATTGCATACCATCGGTCCAAGGCAATGCAGCTCAACGTAAGAACAGACACAGACACGGACACGGTCTAGAGAGGAAAGAAAGGAACACGGTTCAGGAGAACTGCTAGGTGTCAGAAAGATAACAAGATAGCACTTGTCTTATCAGCAAGGTAGTTACAGCAGAAAAACGAGAATTCCAGGTAACCCATTCTACGTATTCATTCATGTAAATGACTTTCCTGCTTAAAAAAATGAATAATGAAAATAGAAAATGAGAAATGCATCAGGAAACTTTGCATGTGACTTCAGATGTGAAGTAAGTGCTTTGAAACCTTGCGGTTTTCTCACATTGAAAGCTTAGTTTAGAACGTGTGAATAATTACTATCTTTGTTTTGTAGTTTTCTGCTGATTGTATAAACAGTATTCTCAGAGGGAAAGAAATTATACATGGGTATATTCTCTTTCAATCAAAATGAATGACACGGCATGTGTATTTTAAATTATTAAGTAGGTTTTTCATTGGTTATATTTCATTAGCATAAATAAGTATTTTTTCATTTTTTTAAATAACAAAAGGTAATTTGATCCTATTTATTTTCAGTATATTGCATAGAAACAAAAGTCTAGATTACATTAAAAGACAATTCTGTACGTGAGTATTTGCGCTATAGTTGGCTCACGGACAAAATTAGTAACTTGATTTTAAAAACAAGTAGGTCCTCTCCATACAGACTTGTATGCAAATAATATCACAAGTGATTCTTCAACTTGGAAATTTAAAGAAATAATCATTTCAACCCAGTTGAGTCCAGCATGATCAAGTATGAAGCTACCTTTAATAGGTTAGGATTAGGGCTAAGGTTAGGAGCTATGGAATTATAGAGTTAATTGAGATGCAAAATGCCTAACTCAAGGTTTCCACACAAGTGCTGTGTGTTTGCTATTATTTATTAGACTTATAATGATGACATTTATTATGACACTATAATTTTGATCTTTCATTCTGGAGTCTTGATTTCTGGATCTTTCAAGAAAGACCATTGAAAACATCTAACTCAAACTGTAGTGTTTCTAAACTCCTGGAGGGATAAGTTAATCTTATGATAGTTGATAACCATTGAAGAGTTTAGGTGCATTTGCTCTTAAAAGAGCCAATTACTCCTGTTAGTATTAGGGAATAAAGTATATGAAGACTGTTCATCAAAGATCTAATAGGTATTATTGGCTATAAAATTACAAATTATAATATCTAAGAAAGGTATTTTAATTATTCCTTTAAATTTATTATATTTGTATAATTCTTTAAGAATTTGCCAGAGTATTATAGAATATCGCTCTTAAATCCAAGCTGTATTGCTTCAGAAGAAAAATGAAAACATTTATATCAAGCTAATAAAAGCCAAATACAATCAAATACTTCTGTATAGCTTGACTACATTGAAAGTGTATTGTATACACAGATACATAAATATTTATATAAAAACAATTAGCTTTATGTTGTAGCAATAGGAAAAAAACTACTTGACTTGAAATAAAAGAATTGTTACTGTGCACCTGAAATTCAAAGCAAAGATGGTTTGGAGACACTGGTTTTGCCAGTGCATGAATTTCTTGGTGCATTTCCATGCTTTGAACAAGAGGTCACGAGAATGAATTACGGGATGGGTACAGTTTGTTTCCAGTCTGTGTTTGGTGTACTCTTGTGGACATTGTAAACTGGACTGTGTTCATGCAAGAGCCAGAATCTCTGTTTGTCCTTTGACATTTAGAACGTGCCTGTAAGTTGTGTTACACGGAAAAATAATGATGCCAGTGACTAAGAGAAACTCTGTGCATCCTTACTGTTAATGTTACTTCCTGTTTTTTTGTTTAATCCTTCCAAGAAACTTGGAGGTGCACAGAACAGCAAGCTATGATTGTATCAGAGCCAGGAAGCAGATTCCTAGTACAGGTGATACTTTCTCACTACATCATCCCCTCTATCAAGACATCTGGGTCATGAGACAGATGTTATGAAGGTTGCCAGGCAACCGAGGATCTGGGCAGTTGAAACTACCCTTAAACCAAAGGGAGTCTACATTTTCTCTTGGATGATTAGCGGAGCTGAGAGAAACACAGTTTACTGGAAATAACAAGAGGATTCTCAAATATTAGAATTTTCTGCTGCTTTTGATTTTTCCAATTTCTGTGTGTAAATTCAACCATAGCTGTATACAAATTCAACTATGACTGCATATAAATTCAACTATAAATTCTTACTGAATTGTTTCCTAAAAAGCTGTTCTTCTCTGTTGTAAATTTTATTATTTCTCCATCATTTTTATTACAGCACATTTTGTAACTCACTGGCAGGTCTTAGCATACTAGCCCAACCAACCTTGTAATTAAATCTAATGCATGTATGTAACTTTTCTATTTCTATGGCATCATCACATATACTATAGATGATGTCTGCTGTTTAGAAATATTACTTCAAGAGATTATTGAGGAGCTGCTGAATTGAAAAGTCTAACATTTTGGTTCTAAAGAATATTTAAAACTATTTCTAGTAATGGGTATTTGTGACCTTTTTCCAAATTTCATTATCTCATCTTGCAAACATTGTGGTCTCCACCTAGAAAGGTTCAGGGACTAAAGACAGGGGTAGATGGGGACTGTGGCACATGATACAGTGGGACCACCCACTTTCTTTCACTATATACTTCCTAAGGGGAACATAGTCTGTTTTCCTTCACTATTTCCTACAGTGAATACAGCTCTCCGGCTTGTGTTGCTATGGCCATTATCAGGAATCATTTTATCAAAGGCTTTATTTTTATAAATACAGTCAGAAAAGATTCTTTTAAAAGTATTTGTTCTTTTCTTTTTTCTTTAATTTGTCAAACAAAGATAGAAAGGCTATGCTTACTGCTTATCACCGAGACATCTGGTGCTGATGCTGGTCACTGGGTCTTACTCTGAGTACATTGCTTTATGTTCATGATGAGGCAATCACAGAGCCAAGAGACTTATGTAAACGATCTAAATAATCTGTCACAACAGCTATATGAGGTAGATCTTATTAAAATTACCATTTTCAGTAAGTGGGTTGCCAAGAGTCTATGTATTTCACTTGATAGTATACCATCTAGAGATGGCAGAACTGATATTCCCAACCCAGAACTGATGCCCTTCTTTAACCAAATACCCTTTAGTTCCTTAGGATGAAAAAAAAAAAAACTGGAAAAAATCCTGATATTCTTGAAAAATAAATGCTCATGGTTACTTGATCTAGGAGATGCTTAATTATTACTTTGTTTAAATGATTTATTTAATGATAAAGACTGTGGAGTAATTACCAGCATCATTGCCTTTATTTCATCCGAGCGTGAACTTGTTTATTCAGCAATTCTCAAGTGTTAGCTTCTTTAAAAGCTTACTTTCTGAATATCTATGTTTGTTTCTTAATTCATTCACTATTTTACCAGACAGTCATGACTATAACTGAAAACGTGTAAAATGATTTCTTAAAAGGCCCAAGAAAGAATTACCTGTAAATAAGGAATGACCTTACAGAGGGATTGTCCAAAGAACCAGGTCTCAGTGATGTCCACAACGAGGGTGGCTGGAAGGCAGGTGATGGTCACAAGCACGTCCGCCAGGGATAGGTTGACTATAAAGTAGTTGGTGACTGTCCTCATGTGGTGGTTCTTCCACACCGCCACGCAGACTGAAAGAAAGAGAAAGAGATGGGATGAATAAAGAGACTGGGTAGCAGTGAGGAAAGGCAGGAGAGTCACACATGTGCTGTAAAGGGGAATGCTTAAGGCTGCACTGTGGTCATTCAGTCAGTTACTCTCTGGGAATTTGTATTCTAAGGTTAAGATGAATTAATTGAACTGGCATTGTATTTCCTATTCATAAGGGCTGTGCTATTTTTCAATTGTAAAGCAAGTCAACGTTGATCTTCCTGTTATTTTAATATTCAGTATGTAGAAAAATATCAAGGAATAGCGGCTGGGCTGGGTATAGCAGCACAAGACTTTAGTCTTAGCCTCAGCCCCAGAAGGAGGCAGAGGCAGGCAGAGCTCCATGAGTTCGGGATTAGCCTGGTTTACATGGTGAGTTCTAGGTCAGTCAGCTACTGAATGAGACCCTACACAATGAAATCCTACAAAATTTTTAAAAGAAAGTAAAAGAAATAGTTGCTGAGGCTGAATTAAATGAAGAGGATTAGAGTTAGTAATGTTAAGAGAACTGTCATGACTGCCTCATTCATGACCATAACCCATGTCTTCCCTCAAATCTACTTTATGGACAAGCAATAGAAAACTCCTACCTATGGGAGAAAACAACAACAAAAAACAAACAAACAAATGAACAAATAAAACAACCTCCTACCATCCAGCCATTACCCAACCCCTACTTTTGCCAAACACTTAGCTGAACAGTTGGCATATTTATATTTTTCTATTTGGACAAATCTTACAGGAAGCCGTGTTTCACATGTGAGATGATTAAGATAAGGGTATTTGTTGGGCCTGTTTAAGAACTCGTAAAATAAAAGCAGTTAATGATGGATTTAAATTCAAGTGATATGTGTGTAGGAAGAGCGGCGGGGCTGCGTCCCTGGCCCGGCCGCCCGCATGGCTAGCTTATGCCTGAAATAATTACACGGAAACTGTATTCTTTTAAACACTGCCTGGCCTGTTATCTGTAGCCTCTTATTGACTAGCTCTTACATATTAATCTAACCCATTTCTAATATTCTGTGTAGCCCACGAGCTGGCTTACCAGGGAGGATCTTAACCTGCGTCTGTCTGGCGTGGGAGAATCATGGCGACTCCTGACTCAGCTTCTTTCTCCCAACATCCTGTTCTGTTTTCTCCGCCTACCTAAAGGTTGGCCTATCAAATGGGCCTAGGCAGTTTTTTTATTAGTAAGAAATCACTCCCACATCATATGTGTGTACTTTCTCCACCTAGGCTGCCTTCATTTTTGAAAATGAAGAGGTTATAGCAGAGTATATTTAAATTTTAGGCTCCAATGCCCTCGTTTTCATTTACTCTCAACGACCTCTGAACAGCACCCTCAAATCAAGCATGGTTGGCCTTTCCACTACATTGTGGGGAATTCCCTGTTTAAAACTGTGCTAGCACACTGAGCTGCTTTTTTCTGAAAGAACATCAAGTTCCTACATTTTCTGCCCTCCGCTTGTCTGGGCCAGACACATTGCAAGACGACTAGCTCCAGAACCCATGCGCGCATACAGCTCTAGCCTCGTCTGCTACCGAATTTCAGTGAATGAAACTACGATTGTTTCCAGGGCATCGTCAGCCTGTCAGAACTATTGTGCAAATGGCGCTCCTAACACCTTAAGGAGTAGTCTAAAAATAGAAGCAGTTTGTAAATTTAAATACCCGAAGAAGGAAGAACTTCTTTTTGACAAACATTTAGCATTAGAAGTTTCGTATCTTAGAAAAAATACTTCCACTTGGGCCTAAGGCTGAAATTGGCTACCAGCTCTCAACTGATGTCATTTAATAAAATATTCATATTTTGGAAGATTTAATTTTGAGTATTTCGAGTCATCCTCTGGTTTCGGTAGTGTAATAGCTAAGACATCAGGTGGCCTTAATTAGGATACACTATAATATCGTCCCTTGTGATATTGCCAAATAAGCTATTTCACATAAATACTTGAAACACACATATTCTAGCAATTAAAAAACACATTACTATGGTTTTTAATAAGAAAATAGGAAATCATTTACTATTTATGGTATTTTTTATTGTATGCTATCTGTACAATTTAGACCTAGAACAGAACATAGTGCTTAACAACACAGCTTCTGATGTCATCAGTGATCAAGTGCTGCGTAGCTCATGCAAGGTCCTGGTTTCCAAGCCAGGCATGGAAATTAAAAACAAACAGATATAGACTAACTCCACCCAGGAGAAGGTGGATGACTCCATGGACATAGTATATACCAGATATAACAGGACTGGTACACATATCAACTCAGGAACTGTGACAATACAGAGACAGAGTAAAGTCAGACTGGGTCTCAGCACTGTGGGATGGGACAACACTGAAACCCACAGCTGACCAAGCCATTTGCAATTAATATCAGCAGGCAAAGCTTTCCTCAATGGAGTGTCACTGGGTGTATCAACTACACTCAAGGGTAGGCTTCATGACCAGGAGTGATGGATAACAAAAATAAACTCCATAGCTTTGTTTTTCTTTTTGGTGTGTATGTATTGTGTGTGTGTGTGAGAGAGAGAGAGAGAGAGAGAGAGAGAGAGAGAGAGAGAGAGAGAGAGAGAGAGAAAGAGAGAGAGAAAGGAGGGAGAAAGAGAGACAGAGACATAGAGACAGAGAGAGAGAGAGACAGGGAGAGAGAGAGAACATAGAATTTAGTTGGTAGGGGAATGGGGAGAAGCTGGGGAAGGTGAAAGGAAAATCAAAATGTATGAAAAAAATTACGAATAAAATAGGACCCCAAACCATAGATTATTGCCAATCTCACTGAAAGAGGCATTCTCATTTTGTTAAAGAAATCATAAAAATCCCTCACAGACACTCTCAGACGCTTGTCTCCAATGGGTCTAAATGCTGCAAAACTAAAAATCAGAATTAACCGTCACATATTATTACCCAGCAGAGGTAACAAAAGTAAAAAAAAAATCAATAAAGAGCATTAACAGGAGAGTAATAGAGCAGTTTATACTAGGGGTTTATGTGTGTTGTGCTATTCTGTCACTTAAAAGTAAGTTTAGAGCTTGCATTATGTCTGTCCATTTATTCATAGGTTATGACTCTGCTTACCCACAAGGCTTTGCTTCTCCATCGACTTTCACCATTCTCCTTATATGTAGTGAGGTGGTTACGTCCCCATTGCCCTGGCCTCTTTTGTGAAAACGTCTCACACTGTCAGGATCTGTTTCTAAATGGCCTGTCAACTACACGTAACACTGCAGGCATGCTCCATAAATCTGTGCACCTTTGTATTTGTTTACTCACGCATTCAAGCTCAAAGCTACATCCGTAACCTCTTTCTCCTTCCACAGTGCACCAAAGTCACCAAAAACTAGGTTCACAGTCTTTGCCAAGATTTTCTACTTCTCTGAAATTTAATACCCTTCATTCCCCTCTCCCAGTGAAATAGCCAAAATATTTCTCATCTGTTACGTTTTTCCTACTCCTGTTGAAAATATCGAGTGTCCCTGTGCCTATTAGCACCAGCAACATCAGACCTCCTGATGGCTTCTGGTATGACATCTGCTATGACCTTTATAAGCATTTTTTTTATCACATGTTCTAGTTATACCAGTTCTCCAACTTTCACAGCAGCCGTTTCCATAGGAGATCTTCACCTAGGCTTTCTTTTTGGTTAAATTAATATTTAATTATGTAATTTCTCACTCATTCTTCCCTCCAACTCCCCCCATACTCCCTTGCTCCTTCTCAAATTCATTGCTTCTTTTCCTTCAGTTATTTATTCACACACACACACACAAACACAGTGCTGAGTGTGTTTAATGTTTCTTGGATATATATCATGGGTGAGGGCAACCACATTGCATCGGAAAATCAATTGGGGGCTCGCCCCAGTAGAAGATTAATTCTGTCTTTCAGTATTCTCTACCTCTCTGTAGTTCTTTGTCTAGGAATGAGATCCCATGGTATTTCCCCTTCCATGTTAGCACATCTATTGGTGCTGTCTTTCTTTATCGCTTGTTTAGGCAGCCATATTGAGAAAGTATCATGTGTGTAGCTTCCTTGTCATTTTTTAGAGATACAGCAGCGTGGCAGATTTCCCAGTCCTCTGATTCTTACAGTCTTCACACTGCTCTTGGAGTGCCCCTCAGCCTTAGGTATGAGGGTTCTACTGAGTTTGTACTGAGAACTATATGATCACTTGTTTTCTGTATTTTGACCACTTGTAGCTTTCCTTAATGATCTTCTCTGCTACAAAGATAAGATTCTTTGGTAGGGACAAGAGCTGTGCATAACCTTGAGTATAAGGGTAAGTGTTTAGAATGCAGTTAAAAATTATACTAGTTTATGAAGGTGGAAGTAGAAGGTTCTTCTCTAATATTCATGACCTCACTAGCCTCAGGTAGTTGACTAGGTTTTCAGTACCCGGTATGTATTCCTTCCTGTTAAGTAGACACAAGTTGGCTACTGCCAATATAAGACTGCCACCCTTGTGTCTTTAGGGATATCTTATCAGAGCGGTCACTGTAGTGATTCATATTTATAGGCATTACAGCTGTGTAGTATTATCGATTTTTTTCTTTCCATGGCAGCTTGTATTATGAAAACAAGTCCCTGGGGAGAAGGCTTTGTGTATTTTCCAACTTGACTCCTTTGAGTCTGGTGTTTGACGTGCACGGTGTCTTTAGAAATAGGAACTTATTTCTGGAGGGCAATCAAGGGCAGCAGACATAGCCAGATTGTTTGGAGAGTCTCTTGGACAAACCTGGCCGAAAACTCAAAACTAGTTCTCCCGTTTAATGGAATTTTTGCTATTTTATGGTTCTTGAGGGATGTATTATAATTCCAAGTATGCCATTGATATATATATATATAAAATGTAGTTTTAGAAAATATAAATAATGATTGTTTTTCAAGTATCCTTAATGCCACTTATCTTTTTTCCTCTCTCTCCTCCTGCCTCACCCACATTTCTCCCCTTTTCCCCATCTGAATCCTTCTGTTTC